GCATCCTGGCCCACTTCTTTCTTTCAATGTCCCATTTATATTCTTTCCTCCAGGGACAAGTTACCACTCTGCCAGTTATCTGTGAAGATTCTCAGTCATTCAGATGAGGTTATCTGGAAGTTGAGTCATGGTAACTAGACTTCTTTCTTATTAGATCGAAGTATTTCATCCAAGTAGCTTCTTCAGTCTGAGGAGAGTTGGCAAGAGACCCCTGATATATCCTCAATGTAGGTTTCACTTCCGCCTGGTCTGAATAGGCTTGTCAGATGGACAAAGGGTGTGTGTGAGTGAAAATCCCATTGACAATGAGTAGAGAAGGGTTTCAGAGGTGGGATTTTCACTTACTCTGTCCTTTGTCCATTAATGTACCTATTTAGACCAGGGGGAAGTGAAACCAACATAGAGGTCTCCTACCAACTCCCCTCAGACTGAAGAAGCTACAGTGGTGCCTCGCTTAATGACGTTAATTCGTTCCAGTGAAATCGCTGTAGAGCGAAAAGGTGGTAAAGCGAAATTTAAAAACCCATTGAAACACATTAAAACCCGGTTAATGCATTCCAATGGGCTAAAAACTCACCGTCCAGCAAAGATCCTCCATACGGCGGCCATTTTCAGTGCCTGTATAGCGAGGAATCCATCCCTAAGCACAGCGGGGAGCCATTTTGAGCACCCAGTGGCCATTTCGAAAATCTAACCATCAGCTGTTTTGATCATCGTAATGCGAAGAATCGGTTCCCGAAGCAGGGAACCAATCTTCGCAAAGCAAAAAAAAACCCATTTAGCCCATCGTTTTGTGATCGCAATTGCGATTGCAAAAACTTCGTCGTGAAGCATATTTGTTGTAATGCAGGGTAATCGTTAAGCGGGGCACGACTGTATTTGGATGACTAGCGGAACATTTCAACCTAACAAGAAAGAAGTCCAGTTGTCATGACTCAACTTCCAGACATTCTGCCAGTTGTTATGGCTGACCTCACCTCTTCAGCCCTCACTCCCCACTTTAGGCTGAACAATGCAAAAGCAGATGCTTGAATAACAGCTGGTAGATGTAGTTGTCTAAAGCAGCGGTCCCCAACCTTTATGGGACCGTGGACCAGCTGAGCCTCTGAGGAAGGCAGGGCACCCCCCTGCTCTCAGGAGCTCTCGTGCACATGCACAAAGTGGTGGGGGAATGTGTGCGCGTGTACCAGTGCCAGCATGAGCTTTCCCCACCCCTTCACGTATGTGCAGGAGTGCCTGCATGCCCTTGTGTGGGCACTCAGAGACTGGGGCACATGTGTGAAGGGGTGGGGGAGTGCTCACGCCAGCGCTGGCATGCGTGTGTGTAAAGAATGAGCCGGGCAGTGAAATAAAATATGGTCCAGGGAGTCTGGTAGAGTATGACGGAAAAAACAGAGCCTGTTTACACGGGGAATCTTGGAGAAATGGCCTACATGGACCGCCGAAGGGAGTGTGTATGCAAAGCAGCTGTGGGGAGAGGAGTGCACGCGGGGGGAAGGTCTGTCTCTGCAGCCTGGTCCGGCTCAGGCCACAGACCGGCACGGGGCCACGGACTGGGGGTTGACAACCTCTGGTCTAAAGAACTGGTGCCACCATTATATCTGTGGTACCTGGTTATTTTGTAGCCAACCATTTTAAGTAGGAACTGACACCAGAGCGCAGCCTGTTTTCTTGTCCTTTGTCCCTCTGCCATTCAGATTTTGTTTTGGACTGCAACTCCCAAAACTCTCCAATAATTCTCCAGTCCACAGATCAATGCCTGCAGTACATATATTTCCCTCAACTGGAGCAAGGAGTACCCCAGAGGCTACCTTCTAGGCCTTATTCCCTACTGCAACGCTTCCTGGAAGGAAGCACTGCAATTCTTCAGGGTATTGTACTTTCACCTTGCCCTTAGAGGTCCACAGAGTTTGCCTCCCAAAAAACTATGACGTCCAGTAAGCACTGCAGCAACTAGAGTTTTACATTGTTATTTCCCCCTAATTCCATGCTTTTCCCATAGCAAGGGTGGCTAAAGACTCTAGTTTTGCAAGGATGGTGAATCTGCTCCAGATTTTAGTCTGAACTTTGAAGAAGTTGACCAAAGTACTCAACCCTGTAGCTGGGAGACAGTGGCAAGCTCCTCTATGGTTCAGACTGAAACCCCAAGCCAATTATTTTTCCAAATACATTTTAATGTCGTTCAATTCCCCCCCCCCAAAAAAAAAACAGATGCATTTCTATGCATTTTTTTCCTAATTCTGGAGCGGAGACCAGTTCCGAGAAGTACTTTGAATTCAAAGAATAAATTCAAAGTACTTATTCTTTATTCAAAGAATAAATTCATTATCCATGAGGTCATTAGTGAAGTGCAGATATTTCCTTTAGAAAGAGGTGTAGGAGATTAAGCGATGGAGCTTTAAGTGCTGAAACTTGGTCTGTTTGAAAATCCCAGTCTACAGTGCTATGCATTGCTTATACAGCTCAATTTTATTTCTTTTCTCATTTTTTCAGGGAACAAGTGGTAATATAGCTGTTTCGCAATACAATTAAAACTGATTGCTCCGAAGCCACCCTATGTACAATGCAAAATCTTTGGACAGCTAGGTTGGGCAGGTGTCACCAGTGAGGAGGCTGCAACCCATCTGCCAACTCACAGAAGAGTTGCCAATGAAGCCTGGCACCACATCTATGCTGTCTCCTGTTCTTCTTGGCATGTGCTTCCTAGGCTGGTTTTAGAGATTATGATCTCATTTTGTGCCAATTGCCCTGGGCTAGGGAATTCTCCACTGGCAAGAGCCGAATCACATCTGGCTCCTTGTGTTGCTAAAGGCTCAGGCAATTAGGAGGTTGTGCATGTCTGTGGCATACACCGAATCTATGTGTTGGTTTGCCTTTGTGTGTAATTATGACATGATTACAAGCTGCTGGTAGTCCTGTAGAAAGGACTGTATGGGCATTTGTATGTGTGGTTGATTCAGACAATGCTGGAATTCTAATATAAGGGAGACTTTATGGGATGTCACTCTTCCATCAAGAAACCCAAAAGGTGTCAATTGTAACTAGCAACAGACAGCTGCAACTGCTGTGACTCCATTGTGAGCTTTACAGTCTCATACTCAATATGTTTTCTCAGAGGCAAGCCCTGAAATGTCTAATCTGGCATATTGCAAAGGATTATATGTCTAAACACCACCAGCCTCTAGCCTTAGCTTTGCTTTGGTTCCTGTATTTCCTTAAACGGAATATGTATTTGCATGAGGAAGGGCAGGATGTGTGAGGACCTTTGAGTTTTTTAATCAATTTTCCTTCCCACAATGTCAGAGGCAAGCCCTGAAATGTCTAATCTGACATATTGCAAAGGATTATATGTCTAAGCACCACCAGCCTCTAGCCTTAGCTCTGCTTTGGTTCCTGTATTTCCTAACCTTAAACAGAATATCTATTTGCATGAGGAAGGGCAGGATGTGTGGGGACCTTTGAGTCAACCTAGGCAAACCAGGAATTCAGGGGAATACATATTAATCAGTTTTCCTTCCCACAATTGGACTTCCTTGGGAACATGTCTGTCAGCTATCAGACTTGAAAATTAAACCTGTGTTTACCTTTCAATGACCAATCAGACAACAAAACATACTAAAAGTAAGATACATGGGTGACAAAAATCACATGCTATGACAAATAGATGCCTTTCACTAGTTGAAGGAGCACCTCTTTTAAAAACATATATATTGGCCAGAATCCTACAGCTGATTTACGCTTGGATGAGGGAAATTGTGTTGCTGGGCTTGCACCCAATCACATTATCAGAGGTGCATCTAGGAATCAATAAGCCACCAATATTCACCTGGTTTCCCTTAGGTAAGCATAAATTAGCAATAAGATTCAGGCCATTGCTTTGCCTGACCTGTCCATACAGTCACCATCTAATGAAGTTCCTGGTTATGTACAGGAATAGTTATTAGGCTAAAATAAATATTTCATTAATAAAAATCTAAATCCATGTAGCATGCAGCTGATTTCTAGCAAGTTACATACAATCCAAATTTGGGATTAAAATATGTTCCTGGAATTACAATGGTGTTTCACATAACGATGTTTCACATAACATTTTTTTTTGAACCAATTAAAATCGTTATGCGAGGCACCACTGTATGTTCCTGGAATTAGTGTATATGTTTTCAGTCAAACATATATTTTGGCAGCATTAGTCAATCTACCTTAACAAGACTACTTCCAGAATTATTAACTCAAAAAAGAAACTGAAAATACAGAAAGATTTTCAGAAACACAAATCTCAGCTAGAGCTTTATATTACTGTCTTTTTAAAAGACAAGCTGTAGAGAAGTAGTTTCAAGATTTTATGAGGTGAGAGTGACTTAAAGGAAAAGAAAGCTGAACACAAGTTTTAGGCTAGAAAAGAATGTTTGGACCAGGAGACCCTATTAACCAGTTTGAATGTCTACAGTAGATACGCATCATTAGGGAACACTGCATATACCTTTCAGAATAAAAGAAAAATGGCTTTAACTGCCATCAATTAGAAAAGATCAACTCAATTTTACAGTATTTGCCTTTGAAAACTGCAAAATGTTTACGCTACAAGTATATGCATTTTTCGCTGGGACAGCCATCTTTCTCCTCCCAGGAATCCCAGAAACTGTGCCTTCGGGTGAGACTTGATAATCATCTTAGAGATCCTCACCGAGCTACAGAGTTCTTTGTTTGTCAGTCAATGGTGAGTCCATGCTCTCTTTCCCAGCTCAGATGCAAAGGCATTTCCTGATACATCCATTGCATGGAGTGTCAGTCCTGTATTTTGTGGTTAGTGTTTTGTTTCATTTCACTCACTGGGCCTAAATGTTCTGAACAGTTTGTGCACAGTGCTGCAGGCAAGAAGTATACTGTGGGCAGACTCATCAGGTTTCCTTTTGACCAAACTGGTTAGTAGGGAGGTCTCTTGTCCAGCGTCATATGAGGAAGGGCAAAAGAAAACCACAAGCAGGGATGGCGGATGTTACCTAGCCTGTTGCAGTAAAGTGGACTGGCGTGTCCACGGATAGTAAATGCAGTCATGACTAGTGGGGCCTCTACACCTGCAGGCAATTACAGAACAGAAAATGTCATTCGCCATTCACGGGGGGGCCATGCAGACACAGGATCCTTTGCCCACACATGGAACATAAGAAGGATGGCAAGAGGACCGAGCGCTCAACAAGTACCTATCCATGAAACCAATGCAGTCCTCAAGGCGCGGGCCTATGCACCTGCAGCAAATCCAGATGAAAAGGAGAAAGAAAACACGTGTTAGCCATTTTATAAACAGAGATGCAGACACACACACACACACACACACACACACACACACACACACATACATCTCCATCTTGCTTTGGTCCGGGTCAGCTGATGATAATTCTCTCCGCTATCCACCTATAACATTCATCAGCTCAGGAGGCAAAATGCAGAAAATAAATGGTGAATATGGTCCAACACGGAACCATTCTGGAAATATATCACGATCCTTAAGCTACTTACCTCCAAACAGCCATTTATGGACTTGTAGAAATAATCCAAGACACATTTCAGCTGCTAATGGAAATGGATCCTGAGGCACAAAATCCAGACATCGGAAGCACTCTTGATGACCACTCATAGTTTAGCAGAAATATATTTTAAATCGGGAACAATATTTATAGAAATACATGGGAAGACACTAAGGGGTACTTTGTTAGGTTTCTATTGTTTAGTATTGTTTCTGTTTTTTTCTATTGTTCTATTTACACCAACAAAGCTGTAAATACAGACACATTTTCCTACTGAGCTTCCCATTTCCCATTAAGCTTCTTCTCTTCATCTGCATATTATTCTAGCTGGTTGGGAAGAGAACAAGCTCCACATTGAATGATACAAAGACTGGAGGGTTATCAGTAATCACATTTTGATTGAACTGAAGGTAACTAATATGCCCTACACCGCAATTTTGTTGGGAGTGTTAGAGTAGATGGGTAGGAGAGGAAATTCTGTAAGATTTTATTGGCATTTTCCATCCCTTGGCAAATCCCCAAAAAATGTACCAAAAGATGTTTGTTAGAAAGGTGAAACAAAGATCTCTGTTCTAAAAGCAGCAATACTAGGACACTGGTTCCGTACACTCTCTTATGTGTAGGCTGCCATTTATATTCATCCCATTCTCCCTAGACTCCAGAAGTTCCAGCAAAAATAAATAAGTCATGACACAACATATTGAAAAATACTACCTTAGCCCAGGGCATTTTTTCTTTTTTATCTCCCTAATCAGAAGAATCGGATTCAAACTCACCATTGGATTTGGGCTTTTTATTTTTATTTTTTTTACTGAACCTGTTCCTCTGTTTAATAACAGGCTGACATGCTGAAATTTATCAAATATTCTGGTCCAGCATGGAGATGAAAAGAGGAGAAAAGCTTAACTGCCTAGACTTCGGCATATCTGGCTGTTGCAAAGGAACACACGCAGGGTCAATTTGGGGAACCTACCTCTGTAATTGGATGGAGAAAATGGTGGCATGGAATTCTCTTCCCTTAAAACTGAGCACTTCACTGGAGTTACACAAACACTGCCCATCAATTCCATTAGAGATTCCATTAGAAAAACTTCCCCCTTCTCTGCCTCTTTGTTATTTCTCCTCAATAGTACTACTGTCACTTTTCTTATTATATAACTCATATTTCTGACGAGCCAAATGGAAGAAGCCTCTGCAACCGATCCTGGCAACGTCTTTGTGATCTTAGTTTCATTTCCCTAATGGCTCTGTTGTAATTAGATTTGCAAAACCAGCAAAAGGTCTCATTTTGAATGGCAACAGCTGTTGACATCAACATTTTTATTGAATAATTTACTGGTTTAATTTTAGCTGCAAAACAATAAAAGCCACTTGCGAATGATTCTTTTACAGGATGCAGATTTTGCTGTTTGTTTCTTGTTTATCTCTTTCTTTTAGTTGGACACACAGCCCAACTGCCTTGTTTCAGAGTAACGGTCTTTAGCATAAGTGGCCCATATTAAACGTTCACAGTTCACATTCCTTAAGTGGCTAGAGTGCCAGGTTTCTTTATGATTATGTGAGAGGCTGTATTCTACATGGTAAACACTGACACTGGGAAATGTACTGATTTAGAGCCTGACTATACATTACACTCATTGTATGAAACAAAGCCACTATGTAAGCTGGGATATGCCTGCTGAGAATTCTAAAAACTGTGCCCAAAACAGGCAGGAAACACTGTAGGGAGTCATAGATTATGGCTGCACTTCACAGTTTAGGAGTTTCACATCACCTTAACTGCCATGGCTTAATTGTATATAATTCTGGGATGTATAATTGGTGAAGTATTTATATTCCTTTTCATTCTTTTGATTTTGCTAAACACTGCTGATGTGTTGAATTACTTAGATTAAATTAAATTTTAAAAAACATATTTTCTTTGCCTTGTGTGTAGTGGTGATCAACAAATTGCCTGCAGCTGTAGCGTCACTCAGCACTTCACACAAAGGCAAAGGAAAATAATTTTAATCAGTTTTTTCTAAGTGATTCAGTGTATCAGCAATGGTCTAGCACAGTGGTTCTCAAACCTGCGTCCCCAGATGGACTGCAACTCCCAGAAATCCTGGCCAGCACTTCAAGTGGTGAAGGCTTCTGGGAATTGCAGTCCCAATTTGAGGTCCCCCCCCTGTTGCCATGACTCAACCCTACTGGTCTAGCAGAGAAAAATAATAATAATTTCATTGACCCTGCCCCTCCACAGAGGGTATTCTGTATCCTGAAGTACCTTGCTTATTTAGCTGCTTCCTGATACTTGAAATTGACACCAGAACGAGGCATTGACAACTGCAAAGCTCAGTTTAGTTCATTCCCATTGATTGCACATGCTGGGTAATAAACTAGACAGCACCTACATGGACCAAAAAAGTGGAACCACCTGACAGAGGTTCACAAAGATGCAGATGGGGGTTCTCTAGGGGCTGATTGGTCTAATCAGGTCTTGTGGTCATAAGAAAAAAGAGCAGATGAACCTACCCACCCCGGGACAACAAGAAAAAAAACACACTGATGCTGAGAAATAAGGGAAGCACAGTTGATAGAGGAAATCAGCACAGAGCTATATAACCCTCCCAACCTTCATCAGAATTCTTGACAGTCAGAGTCTGGAAGGTATCTTAATTCTTATTAATTTCAGGTGTTGCCAAGGAAAAATGTGGTGCCTTAGTTTGAACCAGGTCAAGCCAAACCAAACAAAATAACTGAGCATGGCACTGAGTGAGCCCTGTATACAGTAGTCACTCTTAATGGTAGTGCTCTGCAGGTGACTATGCTGCCTTCTGGCTAACCAAGATGCTACCTTGGCCAATGGAGGATGAAAGATCAGCACACCTGCACAGTGGGATATGGGTCAATGAGCAAACTCAGGTAGTCTGAACTAAATTTAAAAAAAAAATAGTTCCCCCACACAAAAATAATCTCATGAACTGATCCAGTTCTTCAACCATCAGCATTATACAGTGAAAGTATTTAATTGAAGTCTTCTGGAAATAATGGGTGCTCTTTTTTTAAAGACAGTGTTTGATGACATCTGCTCTGTGAACATTAATGCCAAAACACGGGACACAGAACTAAAGAAAGGGCTCTTAAATAAATATGAATGAGATTCTGTATCTGCGCCAGTTTCCTTGTTAAGAACTATTGCGTATGCTTCCGCACAAATATGCACCATTACAAGGGACATTCACCGAAAACAAGAGCCATGTTAATAGGTTTAGAGGGAAAGTGTTAACCACGAGTCACTGCAACATAATAACTGGAATGGAAACAGAAACACAGATGCCGAAAAGCAAAACCTTAGAAGATTATGTTGTCTTCCAGAAACAGATAGGGATATTTTTCACCAGATAAATGATTTTTGACTTTATTAAATTAATATCTGGATTCCTGTGGCTTAATGAAGAAGAAGAAATAGTGCATGAACAGCTACTTCAACAAAAAACATCATACTTATACAGTTTTATATCATTTAAAAGGTCAGAGACATTGAAATGAAAACTGACAACTTCCGTTTGTTGTATCTCCAAGTATCACTTAACTAGCACCATCAAAATACACAATGCTTTATAGAGTAACGTAAACAAGGATATGGGCTTCAGCCCATATAACTCTTTAAAACCAACAGTTTTGAAAGGAAGCACCATGTATATGCACACATACACACATGCAGCCACACAGAGAATTATACATATTTATAAATGCACACTCACAGAGTTTTCTCATGTTATGGTACAACCCAAACAAATGAAGTACTTTTAAACTGCACTGTTTTCAGTGGAAGAGACTTAAGTAAGATCTCAAGTAGTAACATCAAATAGATTTCAAAGCACTTGATTTGGGCCAAATTCCTGTGGTCTCTGGGGGATTTTTGCTGGCCATGGGATCATCTGGATCTTCCCCTCAGAGGGATGACAGAACTCCAATGTTAGGGGAGAGGTTCTGGCCATAGCTCCCTCTTCTCACTACTTCTACGGCCCTTTGCCCTCCAACACTGGCGCTTCAATGATGAAAGGGTAAAAGGGACATGTGTGTGTGTGTGTTTTTTAATGTTCTAAGCAGTGAGAATTTGATTAAATTGACCCAAAGTTGCCCCAGCTGCTAGAGAAGCCACCAAACCAGGTGGCACTCAATAAGACTCTGGCAGCTGGTGTGTAGTCATTGCTTCCCATTCATTTCAATGGAAGGAAAAAAATTGTTCCAAAAAAGAAGACAAGGAAAAGTTAGGGGGGTATTGATGATGCAGTTGTGAAGTGCTACAGACTTTCAAGGCTTTGGAAGTGTCACTCCAGTCCAAAAATAGGATTGCACCGCTAGGCTGTGTTGTATACTGACTTGCAAAGACCTATTGGTATTACCTATTACCAATGGTAAAACATTCAAAGAAAAGAAAATCAGGGCAAAAATTGAAGCAGACAGGCAAACATACATTTTCCAAGTAAATGCCATTTAGTTAAATGATGCAAGCTTACCCTTGGGTACAGTTTGGATGACAAGAGTGACATTCACGGTCCTCATCAGCATATTTGAAAATGAAGCTGTTTGTGCCTTGTACCCCATCAGGACACTTTTCCACACAATTGGGGCCATCTTTAAAATGGAAACATTTGGTGCAATGGTCAGGTCCCTACACAGAACAAAGATAAATAAAAAGAATAACCACAGAAGGTTTACATCTTCCTCCTGTTTAGGCACTTCCAAACAGTTTACTGAGAATATTCTGAATACTCAGATATTTCGATGCACAACTGCAAAACAATATTTTGGTTTCATTGTGGGATTGACATTCTTTCAACTGTTGACATCAATGTCACATACAGAAGCCTTAGAGATTTCAAGGCTGTTGCCCACTTATAGCATGACCTGTTTGCATCAGCCAGCAGGAGAGCAAAACACACATGATGGAGAGTCTCCATTGCCTTCCTTTTGCCACCAAAAATTTATGTTGATCTAAGAAGTATTAAATCAAATTAGAGCCCATGACCAGGATCCAATGGTCCCATTCTATTTGCACGTACAGTAGCTGTATTGTGAGAGGTGGGGCTTTTTCAGTTTATTTCCAGCACTTCCTTGAACAAGAGCAAGCCTGCTTGAAATTAGTGGTGACAATCTCTGGTTTATACAGTGCTGTGAAAAGCTGGAGATGAAGCTATGAGTTATGTTCTGGCTAAAGATTGGCATCAGTCAGGGAAATGGTGGTTCGTCTTAGTTCGTGGTTCGTTGAAATCCACAAACCACGAACCACAAATTTCTGACCTTTTCCCCAATGAACTATGAATCGGCTTGTTGGTCCTATATGTTTTTTAGACAGACACTAAAAACGCTTTATAAAACCAATCTGCCTTCCCTGCCCCCTTCCCACTGCCCCTGTCACCTCCCTACCTGGTCCTGCCCCTCCCACTATCGTTGAAGACAGTGGCTCAGCTTCCCTTCCTGGAGTCCGGCCTGTCGTCTCTGGGTATGTGCCTGCCTATAAGCTGAGAGGCAGGCACATGCGCAGAGGCAATGGGTTGCTTCTTAAAAAATGCATCATCATCATCATCATCATCATCATCATCATCATCATCATCATCATCATCATTATTATTATTTAGATAGCCCTGTGGCTGTCTATTAAAAAAAAGTGTGGCAACCTCTGCTGAGCCCACCTCTCAGTTGAAGCAGCCAGGCTTTTTTCTTTGTTTCTTTTTTTAAAGGCAGTCCCTCCAGCTCATGGTCAGCTTCTTCTGCGCATGCACCCACCTCTTGCTACTTAAAAAACAATAACCATTTTTTTTTAGACAGCCTCAGTTGAGGCAGCTTTTGGGGGGGGGTTGTTTTGTTTTTTGAGAAGCACCTTGGCTGGGTCCTGGCCAGCTTCCTCTGCACATGCACCCCGCCTATGGGCAAGAACATGCACAGAGATGGCAGGCCCGGCTCCCAGAAGGGAAGCCGGCTTGCTGTCTCCAAAGATGGTGGTGGTAGGCGCAGCTGCAGGACCAGGGAGGTAGGCAACGGAAAGGGGGGGGCAACAAATCAGGAAGTTCAGGAAATCACTGAATGAGTTCTGGTTTGGGGCAGTTTGAGTTCTCTGGCTTGGATAAACTCGAGCCAACCCACATCAATGAACCAGTGATTTTTGACAAATGTTCTGCTCTGTTGTTAGAGTCATTTTGTTTGTTTGTTTGTTTGTTTGTTTGTTTGTTTGTTTGTTTGTTTGTTTGTTTGTTTGTTTGTTTGTTTGTTCGTTCGTTCGTTCGTTCGTTCGTTCGTTCGTTC